CTCCAACATTCCTAAATATAGGCTGCTTCTCTTCACAGCAGAAGCAAAGAACTGAACTTCCTCATCTCAGTACCACCAAATCCATCAGCCAGTCCCCACTTCACCATATCAAACACTATTCAACTGTTTTGGGGATTTCTTTAGTGATCACCTTAATGTTTATCAATAAAAACGTAATAATGCTATTTCTTAATCTTTTTTAAAAAAATTGATATTAGAGAGGGGACGGGCGAGAGGGAGAAACATTGATTTCTTGTTCCACTTATTTATGCATTCATTGGTTGATTCTTATATGTGCCCTGACCGGGGATTGAACCTACAATCTTGGCATATGAGGATGGCACTCCAACCAACTGAGCTACCTGGCCAGGGCCTATTTCTCTCGCTTTTTTAAAATATATTTTTGTCAATTTGAGAGACGGAGAGGGAGAGAAGCATCAATGATGAGAGAGAATCATTGATCACCTGCCTCCTGCATACCCCACACTGGGATGGAGCTGCCAACCTGGGCATGTTCGAATGGGAATCGAACTGTGACCTCTGGTTCATAGGTCAACGAGCTCAACCACTGAACCACATTGGCCGGGCGCAAGGGCCCATCACTCTTTTTTTAAAAATTTAAATTCTTTATTATTTAAAGTATTACGTAAGTCTCCTTTTTTCCCTATTGGCCTCTCCCACCCCCAGCACATGCCCTCAACCCCTGTACTGTCTATGTCCATTGGTTAGGCTCATACGCATGCATTAAGTCCTTTAGTTGATCTCTTATCCCTTCTTCCTCCCCCCCCCAAAAAACTATCTCTTAATCTTGCTTTTAGACATTAACTGTTGATTTCCTACAATGGAAAAGGATATAGCTATCTTACACTATCCTCTGCAACATGTATCATCCATACATATATACCTATATTTCCTCTCCTACTAGTTTAATGTTGGCTGAAATCTGCATTCAGAGTTCAGTATGACTATATTAATACTGTTTGCTGTTGAGCCCTGTTTTGGTTTATGGTTACAATTCCTTTAGGTACAACTTTCAGTTTTTCTTGGAGTCAACTGCCTTATTTTTCATTTGCTTGGTTTTCTGTGTTCCTATCGCTGCTTCATCTGAAACTGTCTGCCCTGAGTGTAAAGTTCCTCCTATCACAGTCAGGTACTGTGCTAGCTCCTCTTGTGGAGATGACCTTCTGGGCAAACAGCTTGGACATTCTCTAAATTCCAAGGAAATGATTCGCTCTCTCATTTTGATGGAACCATCTACTGGCAGCTGGGGAGCTTGCACATTTAAAATGTTATTTCTTATATTTGATTCATCGTTTGAATGGATAGAATTTGAGATTGAAAATCATTCCTCTGTTTTTTTGTTGCTGGAAGTTTTTAAGATCATCTCTATCCTGATGTTCTCAAATTTCTCAACAACATGCTCGAAGTGTTGGTCTCCCTCCCCCAACACCCCATCCAATTTATTGTGCTGAGCACTTAGAGTAGTACTTTTTTCTAGTAGTTACTGTTGTGTCACAAACTACCCCAAACATAGTAGCTTAAGTTTTGGAAGGATTCAGCTGGGTAGCTTTCCCTTGGGATCTCCCATGCAGTCAAAGTCGGGTATTGATTGGGGCTGCTGTCATCTGAAGGCTTGACTAGGCTGGATGTCCAAGACAGGTCACTCACATGCCTAGCAGGTGATGTTGCATTGTTGGCTGGGGGCTCAGCTGCGGCTTTCAACCTGAGTGGCTGTATGTGACCTCGCCATGTAGCTTGGCTTCCTCAAGTAAGTTGTCGCCAGGGTAGTTGGACTTCTTTTTTTTTTTTTTTTAAATATAATTTTATTGATTTCAGAGAGAAAGGGAGAGGGAGAGATAGAAACATCAATGATGAGAATCATTGATTGGCTGCCTCCCGCATGCCCCCCACTGGGGATCGAGTCTGCAACCCGGGCATGTGCCCTTGACCAGAATCAAACCTGGGACCCTTAAGTCCGCAGGCCAACGCTCTATCCACTGAGCCAAACCAGCCAGGGTAGTAGTTGGACTGCTTACCGGTATATGGCATCTGAGGACTCCACCAAGCCCAGCTTTGGAGAACTCATGCAGGATCACATCCACTGCATTGTATTGGTTCCAAACATCTGGTTACAGATTCAAGGGACAGGGCATAGATCCTATTTCTCAATGGTGACACATGTTAAGACCACCACATTTTAGGAAAACCTGTGATGTGGGAGGTGATGGAGGTATCTTTAGAAAAACAATCTACCATACTTTGTCAATCTGGATAATTACCCATTTGGGGGTATTTTGAAATTAATATATCCATCCAGTCCACTATTTCCCTTTGGAACTCCTTCAGATGTTTGACATGTGGATGGATATAATTTTCTTTCTCTTCATTTTTCTAATGTCCTAATCTTTTTAGCTTATCCTAAACTTTCTCTATTTCATCTCTCTAGTGACATTTTAAATTTTCTGCCATATATATATATTTTTTATTCTGAGAGTCATTTTTCCTTAATGTTTCTTATTTAGAGAATCCATTTATTCAGTGTATGCTTTTGGAGTATTTACTATATGCCAGACATTGTTTCAGGTGCTAGGGATAGAGTAACAAACAAAACAAATTTCAGCCTTTATAGGCTTATATTTTAGTGAGCAGATAGGCAATAAAGAAGAAAAATGTGTAAAATATTTGCTGTGCAAATTGGTGATGAGCATGGAGTTAAGTAAGGCCAGGAGGGAATGAGTGTGTCAGATGGTTCTTGTTTCATGGTGCAACGTCTTATCTCTGTTTGTCAAAGTCCTCTTCCACACCTTGCATCATCCCCATTTCTCAAATTACCATTTTCTGTGTTTTGTTTTTTTGTGGTGGAGGTTTTTCTCAAATCTGGCTCATGTTGATGATGGGGGGCTCTGAGGAGCTCATTGGAAGCTCTGTGTCAATGGACACAGCCTGCCAAAGGATAGGCTTCTCTGCTTTCCTACTAGGTCCCAGCCGCCAATGTTTGCGGGTCTTTTTTTGAGGGGCCATTTGCTATAGGGCAATCCTCCTCCTCCTGTCTGAAGCCGTATGGCTGAGTGGGAGAAGTGGGACTGGGCTCCCACGTGAGTGTACTTTCAGTGCCCTCAGCTGTGCCTTGTACCTCAGTTCATTCCTACTCTGGCTCAGCTGCTGCAGGCTTCATCCAGGTAGGGGAAAGGATATATGCCACACTGCTCCGTACCCAGCTTCCTACCAGTTCTCCCAGTTTCTGAGCCTTCCTGGGGTTCGATGGCAAAGACTGGTCTCTTTTCTTGATGGCTTCCCCCGACACATAGGTTTCAGCCTTCTCTGGCTTGCTGTCAGTTATCACTACAGCTCACATTCCTTGGCTTTATAATTTTGTTGACCTCTCTTATTTACTGCTACCTCCTCTCCCATTCTTTCACTGTGAATTTTTATCTCTGTTATTACTTTACTAGAGGCCTGGTGCATGAATTCGTGCACCAGTGGGGTCCTGGCTCTCTGACATCCCCCAAGGGGTCCCGGATTGCGAGAGGGTGCAGGCCAAGGGACCCCCCTGGTGCACGATCGGGGCCAGGGAGGGATGTGGGAGTTTGGCCAGCCAGGGAGGGACCATGTGTAGGAGGGCTCCAGGGTGTGTCTGGCCCATCTTGCTCAGTCCTGATGGGCAGGACCCCAGCAGCAAGCTAACCTACCGGTCGGAGCGTCTGCCCCCTGGTGGTCAGTGCACATCATAGCGAGCGATTGAGCAGCCTTAGCATATTATGCTTTGATTGGTTGACTAGATTACCGGACAACCGGACACAGCATATTAGGCTTTTATTATATAGGATGTATGTAGGGTTTAGGTGGGAAGTAGAAGTCAATGATTGCGCTTGGCATGACGTTTACCTGGACACACACCCCCCCCCCCCCCCCCAAATAGTCACGGGGCCACATCTAATCAATTCTCAGACCTCTCTACAATCCCTCCAGAACTTCGGCACAGATCACCAGGTCTTCTCCGCTAGATGGGAAGCTGTCGGTGCCCCTGGCCCATCCTGGAAAATGTTCCCTCTGGGATACTCCCTAGTTCAGCGGTTCTCAGTGGGTCGCGACCCCTTTGGGGGTCGAACGACCCTTTCACAGGGGTCACCTAAGAACATTGGAAAACACATATATAATTATATACTGTTTTTGTGATTAATCACTATGTTTTAATTATGTTCAATTTGTAACAATGAAATTGGGGGTCACCACAACATGAGGAACTGTATTAAAGGGTCGCGGCATTAGGAAGGTTGAGAACCACTGCAGTTGATCTCATCCAATCTTACCTTTCCAAATATCACCTGAAAACAAATGACTCCCCAATTCACTAGCCTTGTCCTCTCTCCAGAACACCAGCCTACTCAACGCATCCACTTGAATGTCTCATGGGCATCTGTCGTAACATGCCCCCCAATCTAAGTTGAAGATCTCCCCCAAACCTTCGCTACTTGAGCAAACTCCCTCCCGCACTCGCGCACCTCCAGCCACGGCCTGGGCTCCGGGCCTCGCTCCCCACAGCCAGCCACCCACCCTCCGGAACTTCTGCGGGGCCGGACCCTCGGGGGCGGGACCTGCCTCATCGCCTCACAGCCACTCCGCCCCACCGAGCACTCCCGCTCCTCAGCCCTGGTGGCGGAGCTTCGCCCCACT